ACCGCCCCCCCCGGAAACCGTAGACGGCCCCGCCCACGCCGCACCTGGCTGGGGCAGGGTGCGCAGGTACGCGTGTACGGGGCCCCGGGGCTCAGAGTCCTCCGAGCCCCGCCGCGTCCCCAAGGCTCCGTGTGGGAGCCCTGGCAGGGCGCGCCACCTCCCATCACCAGCACCTGCCCCTCCGTGCGCTGGGAGGCGGCGGGGTAGGGGCTGCTTCGTTCAGGGAAAGTAGAGGTCTCCGCACAGAAGCTCAGAGCCCAGCACCGGCCGACTGCTCCTACCCTGCCCACCTGCAGCGGCTCCGGCCAAACCCCACTCAGGTAAAACCTCGATCAACCCAACGCCATGCGGGTCAGGCTGTGACCCCTGCCCCCAGAGGTCACCTAGAGTCAGCTGCCCACAGGCCCGGGGCCAGTGCCTTCTGCCTCCACAGCTGATCTAGCCTCACCGCCCTTTGCTGCCAGCCACACCCGCAATGAGCTCCAGAGGTTCGAATCTGTCTGTATGAAGTGGACGGCAGTGGCCCTGAAATGACTCCATGAATCCATTAAATACAAAATGTCTGGAAATAGCACCTGTTTGTTTTAGAGTTACCCTTTCTATTCATGCAGTGTGTTAGCAAGGATACAACCTGAATGAAACTACAAGGAAAAACAATCCGGTCTACACCTGTTAGCCCAAAGCTGGTGGTATGCACTCTGGGTCGGTGTCCCAGCAGTAGAAAGCCCAGCAAGGGCCCGCCTCCTGGGGCCAGAGGGCAGTTCTGAGGATTCCGTTATTCCCACAACTGGGGCTAGTGTTACTGGTGCAGCCAGGTGTCCACCAACTGTGGCCTGAGGGGACCCCAGCTGGCACCACCCGGCCCACCAGCTCCACTCTTTCCTGCACTTTCACCACAGCCCCAACCTGGGCTCTGCACCCCAACCCAGGTTCAATCACATTGGTTATCAGTTCACAAACCCTCAAGGGCTCCCAGCAGCCAAGGCAGCTGGCAGCTGCGCTCACTGCCTTGTGACCTCATCCCCACTCCCCACCCTTGTCACTATCTCCCATCTTTGGGTGCCTTTGCTGCCCCTCCATGACCCCTATATTTCATTTCTCTGAAGTCTCCTGTCTCCATGGCCCTGGGCTGGGTGACACTGCCTGCTCTGCCTTGCCTGATGGGGCCCATACAGCTGCCCCACCCAAGGGTTCTGCAACCCAAGGCTCCCAGCGAGGCAGGCGTTTCCACGTGCAATACAGCCAATTGGTAGATGACCGAAGCTGCTTTTCTACAATAGGAGAGTCCCCAGTGTGAACCGGAAACTGTCCTGAGAAGTGCACAGAGGAGCTGGGGAAATGGAAGCAGAGCCCTGGACTTACCTGGGACTGCCTCGACAGCACTGCCAGTGGGGTCGAGCAGGTGGGAACGGGCCGAGAGGGCGGGCAGAGTGGTGGGCGAGGAGCCGCCTGAGCCAGTGCTGGATGCCAGGCTGGATGCCACACTGGAACTCACGCTGGGGGCGAGCGGGTGAACCACGGCCAACACCGCCAGGTGGCTCTGTGTAAAGACACAAGAAGGTGAGCTAGTGGCCTGTTCAGGGACAGGAAAGTGACAACGCAGTGACAGAGGACCTGTGGGGGAACAGAAACTACAGAATCACGATGGATGGGCTGCCCAACTTCTATCCCCAAAACAAAACAAAGAACATCGACTATTTTTCCAAATACTCTAGAGGGGCCTTCAATATCTGGTTAGTTTCAACGACTGTGACAGCAGAATCAAGAGCTGTTGATCACCCAGGGACGGGAACAAATGCATCTGGGAAGCGTCTCATCTAATGGACTGTTCTGCAGAAAATGATGTTCAAAAGCAGATGTGGCAGTAGAGAAAACACCCAGCACAGAAATGAGGAGAGTGCCAGCCATGCTTCTGAAAACATCGATGAAATAATCCTACGACCCTGTCATCCAACAAAAGAAAAAGACCGGGGCAATTCATATTATCTTTATTTGAGAGAGAACAGATTATAAGAAAAAGAAGAGGCACAACCTTGGATAAACAGCCAGTAATGTGGAGGGCTCTGTGCACAGAAATACACATGATAAAAATGGAGCAGGACAGAGCTACAAAGCCAGACCTCAGAGCTTTCCATACCATGACAGCCATGTCTGAAATGCACACTCCAAGGTCATCAGGAAATGGAGAGTCAGAAGCTATTTTAAAGTAAAATGGTATGATGTCTGGGTAATGCCTTGAAGTAATACAGGAAAAGCTAACCTTATGTGTAGAGGGGTTTGTAAGACCAGGTACAGGGGCTGGGGTTCCCCATGAAATTTCCAGAGTAAAAAGGAGTATCACTGTACAGTTTGTAGGAGAGCAACCTGGCACAGGATGGTTTCGCATTGTGCATTGTGCCCTGAGGTCCCCTTCTTGGCATTCACCATCTCCCCCTCAAAACTGGCTTTGCTCAAGAGAGGCCCCAGATGACAGCCCAGTGGTCCATGACTGCACAGAGACCCTGGAACTGGTTACCATTGTGTGTCTGAGGCTAAAATTTAAAAACAGCAACTCAAACAAGAGGTCCAGAGAGAAACGTCCCCCAGCTCTCCCTGGGCCCACCTACCTGCTCATCCACAACTGAGCTTTCCTGTCCCTCCAGCTGTGGTAAAGGTGACCACAGCCCACCCCACCTCCCTCCACAGGCGAGGCAGGAACAGCAGTAACCTACGCACGGCACTGCAGACACCGCACGTTAAACCCCACACGTGGAGACTGGCTGGGAGCCACCGGCCTGAGGCACTCGCTGGGACTTCACCCACCCAAAAACGTCACACTGTAGGAGCATGTGCCCCCTTGAAGACATCAGGTGATACTTTATCCTGAAAACTGATAACAACATCCTGGTTGGTCCTTTCCCTGAGGCCACGATAGTTACAGACATACTAAGATGGGCAGAACCCACATGGGAACCCCATCACTGGGGGAGTCAGATGTGACACAGTGAGATGCGGACCATGCCCCCTCCATATGATTTGTCTGCCTGGTTTCTTACTTTTTTCTTCTTAAGGTTTAATCATTTATGGTTTCTAATTTTTTTTGTACTTTTCTTTTAATAGAGGTACTGAGGATGGAACCCAGGATCTCATGCATGCTAAGCATGTGCTCTATCACTGAGCTATATACCCAACCCGCCTCTTTCTCTTTTATTGTAGTAAAATACACATAACATAACATATACCATTTTAACCATTTTTAAGCACACAGTCCAACAGCATTAAGCACATCCGCACTGTTGTCTCCAGAACTTTTTCATCTTCCCAAACTGAAACTTTATCCCACTAAATGCTCACCTCCCACCCCCTCCACCAGCCCCTGGAACCCACCCTTCCATCTTCTGTCTCTATGAATTTGACAGCTGCAGGAACCTCCTGTAAATGGGATCATACAGGATTTGTCTTTTCTGTCTAGCTTATTTCACTGAGCATTAATGTCTTTGCTTGGAAAAAAGTGTTTGTATCGCCCCCAAAATATGAATGTTCCAGTCCTAAACTTTAATGTGACCGTATCTGGAAATCAAACCATTAAGGAGGTGACCAGTGTGCTTCTAAGATAAGGAACAGACTCCAAGGATGCACAGGCACAGAGGGAAGGACATGTGAGCAGAAAGCAAGACACCAGCCATCTGCAAGTTGGGAAGAGAGGATCTGCAGAAACCACACCTGTCTACGCTTTGATCCTGGGCTTCAAGCCTCTAAAATTGTGAGAAAATGAACTTCCAGGATTTTAGCCAGCCAGTTTGGTGCTCTGTTATGGCAGCCTGAGCTAACAGTCTTCGAGGTTGATGCACGTGTCAGGAGTTCCTTCCTTTATTGTGGCTGAATAATATTCCACTGGCTGGACAGACCACATGATGCTTCTGCCAATGGGCATGTGGGCTGTGCCCACCTTCTGGCTTTGTGAATAATGCAGCTGTGAACATGAGAGCATGACTACCTCTTTGAGATGCTTGCGATTTGCTTGAGTACATACCCAGAAGTGAAAGGTCTGAATTGTAAGGTGATTCTATTTTTAATTTTTCAAGGACCTGCCATACTGTTCTCCACAGCAGCTGCACCACTTTACATTCCCACTAGCAGCACACAACAGCTTCCATTTCTCTGCATTCCTGCCAGCTCCTGTTATTCTCTTTCTCCTTTTTTACTTTTAAATAGTAGCCATCCCCTAAAGGGTGTGAAATAGTACCTCCTAGTGGTTTTGGTTTACCTTTCCCCCATGACCTGTGATACTGGGCATCTTTTCCTATGTTTATGGGCTGTTTGTGTATCTTCTTTGGAGAAATGTCTACTCAGTTCCTTTGCCCATTTTTTAATTGGGTGGCTTGTTCTGCTGATGTTGAGTTGTAGGACTTCTAGGTTCTGAATATCAACCCCTTATCAGAGACGTAATTTGCAGAGATTGTCTCCCATCCTGTGAGCTGCCTTTTATTCTGTTGACAGTGTCCTCTGATGCACAGATTTTCAATTTCGATGAGGCCCAGTTTATCTATTTTCTCTTCCATTGCCTGTGCTTTTGGTGTCACATGCAAGAAAATCGTCAGTCCCAAGGTCAGGAGGCTTTCCCATCTGCCTGCTTTTGAGTAACAGGCTGGAGAAAAACTCCTCCCGACACGGAGAGACACACTCATGTGCTGGGTGGCTGTGGGGTGACCAAGTGGCAGCTCTGAAAGCCTGAGTGTCTGCTGAGACACGAGTCCCTGAGATGTACTGCTCTTGTGAGAGCAAGCACCCCAGGCCTGACACCATGGGCTGCCTCTCAGGGTGGGACAAGGTGAGTCTTGGAAGACTGGGGTCTGGGCACCGTGGACAGTGTCTGTGGTCTTGCAGCCTGGACTCTGCAGTGACAGTGGGGCCACAGCAGGGAAGCTGCTTTCCTCAGTATGTTCTAGCCGGGGCCACCAGGTGAGCAGGTGGCTTCAGAGGAAAGGGCTGCCCGAGAGGGAAGATGGAAACTGGGGAGTGGGCTGGAGGTAACTAGGGAACTTGATTGCCTCTGTTTATCAAAGAAAACTCCGCACACCCTGTGCTCTCCACTCTGACGCAATGGCCGAAGACCCAGGAACAACAGCTGCTCGCCAGGGACACAAGGACACCAGGAACACAGGGACTGCAGCCAACGTGGAGGCAGACAAGGGGCCAGCACTCTCCTCTGGCCAGAGCGGATGGCGCATGTGGACTGCAGCCGACGTGGAGGCAGACAAGCAGCTGCTGAGCACCGTCTGCCCATAAAAGCCACTAGGCTGGCCTCAAAGCCACGGTGTCCCCTGGGCATCCCAGCCAGCCCTTCAAATGGACAGGGATCCTCAGAGGTTCCAGGGGAAATGTGGACACTGCTGACCTGGCTGAGGGGCCTTCTGAGCTGGTTTGCAACCCTACTCCCTGGGTGCTCACTGCCCCCAGAGCCAGGCTTTGGAATGAGATTGGGGGTGGCAGGGAGGGGGTCTCTGGGTGCAGGGAGAGCTGGCCTGTGGGTGAACTTGGCCAGTCGGCTCACAGCACCTGTTGGCTACATTCCCGTCAACATTTCACATTTCAGATTCTTAACGAACAACTTCTTGATTTCAGTCTCTTTACAAAAAAAACGTAACTGGGTTGCATTTCTACTTTCAGTTATCCTGCTGGTTTCAAAAGTGCGCTTTAGAAGCTCCTAATAGAAAAGAAAATGCCTCAATACCTTGCTCTGAAACATTGCCAGGGAAGTGCCCTCAGGGCAGCAAGAAAACCAGAAGAAAGGGAGCTGTGAGGCGCTATCCACTTGGGAATTTAAGATGAAGCTCAGAGCAGACACAAGTCACAAGCGCCAGGAGGGTGAGCACTCTGCCTGCCCCGGCATCTAAAGCTCTGCCTTTTCACAGTGTTGGGAAAACAAGCATCCTTGTGTCCTTAGGGCGGAGATGATCAGGAAAAAAAAAATTGTTTCTCAAAACAACTCAGTTTAACAAGCACAAGGAAGCTGGGTGGAGTGGAACAGAGAGAATGGGCCCAACCAGGGGCTGCCTCAGGTGAGGGGCACGGCTGGAAGCCCCGCAAGCAGCCTCACTGTGGAGGCGAGAGAACACACGGATCACCAGTTCCTCAGGTGTGAAACTGTCTCCAGATGGTGACCCAGTTTTGGCTCCAGGAGGGGCCAAGCCAGGCTCACCTGGGACGCTGCCGTGGGCTCAGCTGAGTCCCCAGAACTCAGGTGTTGGGGTAAGGACCCCCAGCACCTCTAAATGGGACCTCACTTGGAGTCAGGGTCTTTACCCAGGGAATTAAGATGAGGTCGTAAGGGCGGCTCCTAATCAATATGACTGATGTCCTTAGAGAAAGGGGACCTTGGGAGACAAATACGGACACAGGAGGAAGAGGATGGGGAGAGATGTGGAGGAGATGGCGCCCACAGGCTGAGGACAGAGGCCTCCAGAAGGAGCAAACCCCGCTGACACCCTGAGCTTGGCCTTCTGGCTCCAGACTGAATCAACGGCTATAGTTCAAGCCTCGATCTGTGGGGTTTTGTCACGGCCGCCTTGGGGCACTCACAGACAGGCAGGCCACCAAGGGCACCTCTCACTGCCCCCCAGAGAAAAGTTTAAGAGGTTTTGGTTTTGTTGTTTCCAAGGTATGACACATTTTTTTTTAACATTAAAACAAAGAGCACATGGGGCCGATGACTTTAAGAATATAAGAACGTGGTTATTTTACAAAGGGATATTAGTCAGATCAGTGTGTGAGCAAGGGAGGGCTGTAATCAGCTGCGTGTGGAATGTCCTAACACAGGCAACACACCCAGGCCCAAAGATAACTCGAAATCTCACCCCAAGTGGTACCTGCTTACTGTCCTGCTCACTGGCTTTCTGGCTGCCTTCAGCCGGTGAATCCCTCCGCTTTGCCTGCAACAGAAAAAGCACTGGCTGTTAGAAGAAAAGAGCAGCTGACGGAGATATACCCGGAGGCCTAAGCTTTGCTCAGAATGCAGAAAACGCCGACTGAAATCTCACGAAACAGAAGAGGTTTTCCAGTCTTCTGCCTCTGTGTCCATCCTCCTGGATTCTGTTTCTTATACCTGACATGAAGCTCTGACCTCCTGAACGGTCTGTGTGAAGGCAGGCCAGAGCTCCCTCAACTCACAGTGTCGACAAACCCCAAACAAAGGAGGCAGGGCTGAGCCTCCAGAGCCGGGTTGTCTTGGACAGTCCGACACCTGAGGAAAAGCAGGATTTCTTGGAAGGCAATTCTTACCCTTCCCCTTTCTGCCTGGAGATAGGCTAAGAATTTCCCTTTGTAAAGGCGCTCCCCTTCTCTCCCCTCCCAAGAGGAAGGGAACAGCTTAACCACCAGAGAACTCTAACCACCTGGGTCAGACCCCAGGAAATGGAGCCTGTACAACAAACTCACTGGAATAACCCTCATTTTCCACTATCTTCCCCCATAGCTTTCCCTTCCCACAATTTAGCTTCCTGTAAGCAGAAACCCCTTTGGTCTTGTCTCTACAATTTATCTTTGTTTAAAGGGTAAATAAAGCGGGGAGGGTATAGCTCAGTGGTAGAGCGTGTGCTTAGCATACACAAGGTAAACAAACAAACAAACTTTCAAAAAAAGGTACTATATTATATTTTTTTAAAAAGGCAGATAAGCCCCCAGGTCTTGCCTCCCTGTAGGTAAGTAACAAATCTTTTCTTCTGTTTAATCTGTTTTTTGTCAGTTTAATTTGCAGGACCCCAGGCACTGAACCTAAAATGGTAGAGGGAACAGTTTTTTTCCTCTCCTGCTCTTATAAAAACCCTGACCTTCTAGGAAAATTGTGCGTGATGATGGCTTTGCCCTCAGAGCTCAGGGCCCATACTCTCTCAGGTCAAACATAAGCATAAAAGGTGCTGACCAAAACATCCTTCAGATCTGAGGAATATCCTGATTTTTGTGCCTAATCTTATGGTAAGTGAATTTATGGTGGTGGCTCAGGTCATCCTGGCCTGCCTGCCTTCCTTGTTTGGTTTCTGGATTTGCAGAAGGACCCAGAAGGCTCACAGAGGGCAGAGAAGAGGCAGTGTCCACACAGGCCCTGACCAGGGCCCCTTCCTGCTGGGTTCGACCCTGAGGCCAGCCTGGTATATCTGGTTTCCTTGTATTTCTCTTGCCCAGAAGTGACCCCTCCTGTCCCCCCAGATTTGGGTGAGTCTCCAAAGGCACTGACCAGAGACCCGAGTTCTAAGAAACCAGGTCATCCTGAAATAGCTCTGCTCACCTCTGGGTCACAGTCCCAACCCGAGCAGGCCCCAGAGCTCCTTCGTGGGGCTTGTTCCCATCCAGGCCCTCCTGTCCCTGCCCTGCACCTTCACCTGCAAGGGCAGAGGCGGGTGGAGCTCATGCCGTGTTGTCACCAACTCCCATCACACAGGGGCTTTCACAAGTAGGTGCCCGAGCAGGCACCGAACCATGCACGAACATTCCAGAATGGGGCAGAAGGGCGGGCTGTGAGGGCAGCTTGCCCCAGACAGGGCATCTGGAGCTTTTTCACTTAAGTTCAGTTCTGCCATCAAAGGTGACTGAGATTCAGAAAAACAGGGAAAAGAAGCCACCCTCCAATTCCTTGCCCCAACTTTAAAAGAAAACGGTTCATCTGGGACAGCGACATCCACACTGAGGAGGGCGAGCTCCATATATCCCAATCTACATATTCCCTCAGGGTCACCACCGAGCCAAATGCCTCTGAACCCATGCCCAGAGGTGGCCCAAGCCAGCCCCACCGCTTTGGACCTACATGTTTCATGGACTTGTGAAACCCATTCGAGCATCTGCTGAAAACATCAGGAAAAGGATTAGCCAGTCCCATGTCTGGTCCCCAGGAGAAGTCTGCACATTTCACACTGTAACACTTTGCTTGGATCTTTTTAATGGACATGTCTTAGAGGATTTCAACTTCTTTCTCAATTTCACATTCTGGCCTCAGGCCCCTCCAGGTCTATCTCACAGCAGGATGACCAGAGGTGGTGGCTGCATGGGACCGTGAATGCACAAGACACTGCTGTTCACCCTAAAATGGCTCAACTGACACCTACAAGTGTAACTGAGGATCCATGAGCTAGGCGAGTCTGGGGGCAGCCCCACCTACAGCAGCAGTGGGCGGCGACCCCACGAGCCAGACCCAGGGGAGGAGCGCAGGCATTTCCCAGGACAGCAGCCCAGCTCCCCACTTCACTGAAGGAATCAGCACCTCTGCAGCCAGACACAGGAGGCAGAAGGGCCAACTGGCTGCGTGGTCCCGGCAGATGAAAAGGAAAAACCCCCGTGACACCCCCTACCCAGAGTCAACGCAGACCCCACAGGCCAAGGGCTCACTCCCGAGAGATGCCCGCGCTTCTGACATCCATCGCCGGCCCCAAGGCATCACCTATGCTTTTGAGCGACCAGCTGTACGTACATCGGTGTTCCCAAGAGCCCCTCCTCTGGTTCTGTCATTTTCTAGAATAGCTCGCAGAACTCAGTGAAACACTTCATGATGTTCACCGGGTTACTAGGTCATAGAGGATGCGCTAAAGGACGCAGACGGACAGCCAAGTGAACAGGTACTTCAGGAAAGGTCCAGGAGGATCCCGAGTGCAGGCACGTCTGTTCCCGCAGCGCCGGGATGTGCCCCCTCCACATGGATGTAATCACCAACTTGGATGCTCTCCAAACCCTGTACTTTAGAGACGTACATAAGCTCATCACATGGGCATGATTGATTATGAACTCAATCTCCAGCCTTACCCTATCCCTAGAGGATGGGGGTGGGGCTGAAAGTTCTAGGCTTCTAATCATGCCTGGTCTTTCCTGTGACCAGCCCCAACCCAGGAGCCCACTAAGAGTCATCTCATTGGAACAAAAGAATTATGATGGTCTCGGAGTCCTGGGTCAAGAGCTGGAGGGCAGAGACCAATATACATATTTTCTATTATTTCACAGTGTGTTTCCGTTGAGAGATGCCAGCAGGCCACACAGAGGGCCGATTCTGGGTACGGGGTTGGGGAGAGTGTCAGCAGACACGGCCCCAAAGCCAAGAGTGAGCAGTGGGGACGTTGCTTCCCTCTCCCTGGTCTCAACGAGGAATTCAGACCCAAGACAGACCCCTCAAACCCAGGACCACAGCTACAGGGGATGAGACCCCAGGCATTTCCCCTCCAGGAGAACAACATGCAGCTGGTTGGTAGGTGTGGCCGGACCAAGCCAAGAGTCCCAATGCCCACGTGGACTCTACACTGAAGAGGAAGCGATGGGAACCCTTACCATGCATAAGCCAGGATTTGGGACTTGTCATCGATCCCCACATGGAGATACTCGGGACTGGGAAGGAGGACCGGCCAGTAGAGAATGAGAAGCTTCCCTCCCATGATGCCCACTGGGTGGGATCTCCCCGTGCAGACCCGGCAGGGCTGATGACACTCCTGCTATCTGCCGTCACCCTGCTGCCCCGGGGCTGTTGCAACAGGAGCCCCAAAGGAGATGAAACTAGGGCTCCCGCTCAGCCCATGTCACCCCACACACATCCAGAGCCGAATGCTGCCAAGCAGGCAGATGCCACTAAGGCCATCTGCACCAGGCCTGGAAGTCAGAGCTGACCCTAGACAGATGCTTCATTTCTTTCTTTTTTTCTTTCTTTTTTTTTTTGGTAGGGGGGGAGGGAGGTAATTAGGTTTATTTATTTACTTTTTTAAGAGGAGGTACTGGGAACTGAACAACCCAGGACCTTGTGCATGCTAAGCACGCACTCTACCACTTTGAGATATACCCTCCCCCTTGCTTCATTTCTTATCTTAGTTTTATTTCAAAAATTTGAGTTGCAATTCACACAACGTTAAGTGTAGCTTTTTAAAAGTGCAGAATTCCGTGGCATTTGGCATGTTTACGTTATGTGACCATCACCTACATCTAGTTCCACAATGTTTCAAACTGCAAAGGAACCTTCCCCTCTGAGCTCTCACTGCCAAGGCTGAAACCCTCTACGCATGCGAGCATGTTAATTTTTTAAGTTGCAAAGTAATTAGAAGACAAAAGATGCCCCACTAGCATACATAAAAAGTCATTCCACCTGCAGGGGTGGGGGTACTGTCCGGCACACCCCGAGCAGCCTGAGCAACAGGCCGGCAGGACGCAGGGTTGAGCTGATCCCCACTGTTCCCCCCACCCGCACAGGCACGAGGGTCCTACTCGCCAGTCCCCCTAGTCTCCTCACCCCCCCACCTCCACTGCCGAATCTCACTGAGACCTGCCAGCCTGGCCTGGGCTGCCCTGCAGGGGTCCCAATGGACTCAGGCCTCCCTTCACGGCTCAGCCCCAGACTGCACCTCACACACAGCACACATGTATGCGTCTGGCAAAAGGCAGGGCCGGGATTCAGTCAGGGCTCTTTTAAACTCTTCTATGAGGAGCCGCCAACCCCACAGGCAGATGGCCACCAACCCCATCACCCAAAGATCACACCCATCCATGCCCCTTAACAGTTGGATTCAGATCAAACAGCAGAGCAGGCATCCTCCTCAGGACGCCATCCACTTACGTGTCCGAGCTGCCCGCTGGGGGCCGTGGAGCTGCTGGCGGAGGCGAGGTCTCGACAGCCCCAGTCACTTGCGGTTCCAAGGCTCTCTGCCGAGAAAGGGGGCGGCAGGCTTTGACTAGCTGCTGGCCGGTAGTAGAACTACATGCATGGAGTGTTTGGTTAAAGGAAATCCCACAAATTAGGGAGAGTGAACATGTACCAGTCTCTGACAGGATTGCTGTAGCCGCTGGTGAGAGTCATGAACGACTCGAACAGCAGAAAACAATGTAAAATTCTAACAGAAATAGCCACCCTCCCCGTTAAAATTAAAAAAAAGAAAAGGCAGTAAATTCGGAGTTTGCAACTTTGCTCACAAGAGCCAGCATGAAAATTCAAAAGCTGTAGGGGGAAGTGCTGGGGAGCATCAAGGAGGGGTCAGGCCTGTGCATTTCCTGTTGCCGAGGCTCATTTCTGCCTTTGGGGACTTTTCATGGGCCCATCTGGCCACCAAAATGACCACAAGCCAGAACCTGGCCAAGGCACTCAGGACCCCGGAACACCTCGGAGGCGGGGCCACCCTGGGCTCTGTCTAACCCACTGCGCTGACCCTCCCAGTGTCACCCAGAGGTGGAGCTCCACCTGCCACAGAGGCACTTACTTTCCACATGTGCAAAGGCACAGAAAGGGCCCCGAGGGCAGTACCCGGTCTGACGCATGTCGTTGCACTTGGTTGATTTGTAGATCTAGGCAATAAAATACAGCAAACAGAGAGGCTGGATCAGAATGTGTTTCCCCAGGGGGCCCAGAGCTGGTTGTGTCACCATGTAGAGAACTAAGCCCCAAATCACAACAGGGTCTCCTGAAAAAGTGCACTGTGGACATGGCTCCCTGCCCGCCGCCCTGGGATTCCCTGGTTGGCGAGGTGCTGTCTGCCTGAGGGACAGTGAGGGCCAGAGGCCGCTCCTGCAGCACCTGCCCTTGAAAACACACACCAAGTCAGCTTGTCCACTTGGCATTTCTTGGAAGAGGCACCTGATTTAGTGCCTGGATACAACAGGAGCTCAGGAAATGCCTGTTAAGTGACCACGTGCGTTGGCTCCACAACCAGACCCCAGGCCACCTCACTGGGGTCTGGTCTCCCAGCACAGCTGACCCAGGAGGGACAATGGTCTCCACATCCCAGCCGCCCTCGCAGGCTTCGCCCAGATCCAAAGTCAACCCTGCCACCCTCCCGCTTCCCTGCCCGAAATGCCAGTCATTCCTTGTGGCTCTTCAACTGTCCCCTGAACACCTGCACCGAAATCTTAAGGGTAAAGAACAAAAGCATTTTCAAAGGGTGTCTGATTCAGAACCAAAGATATCAGGAGGCTAAGTGCTGTCTCATGTGCATTTTAGGGGGGAGGGTATAGCTCAGCGGTAGAACATGTGCTTAACAGGCACAAGGTCCTGGGCTCAATCCCCAGTATCTCCATTAAAAATAATAATAATAATAAATAAACCTAATTACCTCCCCGCCAAAAAACTTTCTTTAAAGAAAGCTGAGTTTCATATGTGTTTTAAAGCACAGACTCTCCAAGCTAGGGGCCAGTTAGCTCAGCTGGTTAGAG